TTTTTTTTTTTTTTTTTTTTTTTTTTTTGAAACAGTGTTAAATAGTTTTGGCAATAACGAAAATTCAGACATTAGTGTGGCAAACTTTATTTACTCTATAATGACTAATTGTTAATTTTTTTTTTTTGGTGAGGAGAATTGACGTTGATTAACAGAAAATTATTTGAATTTAAACCTTTGTGTTTAATTCTAAAGTAATCTTTATATTTCCCTAAACTTTGCTAAACATTTTACGTAAATGTATACAAGTTCTTCCGGAAAAAAAATTTTCTTTGGGTAAAATGCTATTGTGTTATTGAAATTACAGTTTTCAAGCAATATTGGTTCAAATCAAAAGTTTATTAAAATCTCTTGACTCTTGAAACACTGTCGAAAAAAGTTCTTTAGCAACAGAGACTTCAAAAATGCATCAGAGAAAGATTTTACAAATTTTGAGAAGCCAAATTTTCTAAGCTTTACAACAATTACGCCTTCAGATGACAAAGAAACAAGACTTTTGCTTGTCAAACATCGATTCACGCAGATTTCAACTAAAAAATGTTGTCTCACCATCACAATTGTTTGCTATAGACAGACTGGTTCAATTCTTCTTGTTCAAAAATTCCCGTTTTTCGACTGTATATCGACTAAAGTATTTAGTTTTTGGTTTTATCAAAATATACCTGAAAAATGACTGGGTTTTGATACAGCAACAACAACAGCTTTTTTACTTCCGCCACTATTTTGTTTAGACTTAAAAAATGAACTGTTCTTTTCCGTTTCTTGTTTTTTTTTTTTTTTTTTTTTTTTTTTTTTCTTTTCTTTTTTTTTTTTTTTTTTTTTTTTTTTTTTTTTTTGCTGTTTATCTTTGTCAAAAAATAAATTTTAACTGCTTTGTCTATTACTCATACACTATGTTAAAAACAGTTTTTTTTTTTGTCTAATAATTAACCGGTTTGGGGCACTGTTGCTAAATATCGCATATGATTCCAGAGTATAGCAGTGCTAAATTTTATTCTTTTCTTTTGACATAATCAGAAGCTATGTAATAAAAAATTTCAATAACTAAATTTGGATGTTATTAGTGAGTTAATAATATAATTTGAGCAGAAGATTTGAATCTGTCAAAGAAAGTAATCTTTCTAAAGTTTCGCAATAAATATGGCTACAATTAATTCAGGCAAGCATTTTGTTTTTGGAAGTTTGATTGTCGCTGTTATAACTGCTGTATGTAAATAAGTGGTTTCCAAAAAGAACAAAAAAAAAAGAAGACACTCATTAGTTTTTCACTTTGACAGGAAATTATTTGTGCTTAGTATAGTACATTAGTCCAGTGGTACTTTTAGTTCCATAACAAAACAGGAGTTTTTCAATAACGCTGGTTTGTTTTTTTGTTCTCTCGCTGTGATACCATTAGAACTTTTGGTACCTTTATTGCTCATAAATTATTTTGAACGCCAAAGTAATGTTTTGTTTTTAAATCTGATGTTAATTTGTTCTGTTCGCTGTATTTTTGAAATTGAGAGAAGAGGAAGAATTTTGGATGAAAACGTTAAACAGTTAGCACCGAAATTAAACGATAATAGTGAGAACATTAAAAGTTCCAATGTTGTTCTGAGCAGTACAATAGAAAAAATAAGTACCAGGGAATTACCGACCACATCATTTTGCTATAATTTGTCGAGCAATAAATTTGTTGAAAAATTTTGAAATTTGTTGAGGTTATTTACTATAATTCTTCAATTGTTACTCTCTAAGAAAAAATAAAAAAGCTAAGTAGGTTTCTGATACTGAAAAAATGTCTTCAGAATTGAGCTACGGAAGTGGTTAGAGCAGTGACAGTTTTCTTTGTTATTTATATTGTCTGATGCATACCAGTGATTGATCAACGACAACATCTGTGATACATCAATGTTTAGTTGGAAAAAAATATCAATAATTTGTAAAATCATTAATTATGTAAACAAATTTATAAATGAAGGTAAAATCTACAAACGTTTGGCTTAACTAATGAGTAATGCGTCCTACAAAAAAAGGTGTTATATATTGTACGCAAATTGTTGATGATGATCGTTAACTGGGATTTTTTTATTTTATCTGTAGGTCAAAAGGGTCGTTGATAAATCTCTTTTTGTGGTCATTTTTGATGATTCTGTTGTTGAAAAACTGTAGATTCAGCTATAATTTTGCTAAAAATTTTTCAAGATAAACTATTGAATCTGAAATAAGGCTATATACGTCATCAAAATGGGTTTATTAATAATTGCTGCAGAAGTAATTTACTTCTACTTTTACGCTTTATACAGGGGCCTTTTTTTATATGTATCTGTTTTTTTTTCTTTTAAACAATATCGTACACCATTCTTGGTCAGAAAACTTCTTAATTCTCTTCAACACACAAACATTCAGGTAAATACATCATTGTTAAAGGTTTTTTGATTAAATGGCAGAGAGGATTAAGCAGCCGGGAGGATTATTTTGATGAAATTGTAAAAGAAATAGGTTTATTTTGTTTATTTATAGAATTTTTAACTGCAATCTGAAGCAGCCGTTT